ATGTTTTGCCCCAAAGTTTGGTGTCATCGGCGAACTTGGCCAGTCCGCTTCTGACTCCAATGTCTGTGCCTGTCTGGCCTCGAACATCCGGTCACGTGCCGCTCTGGCCCGGAAGTTTAGTGGTGTTCACCTGTCTGTCCCAGGTGTTCTGTTGAGTAGGGGTTTACCTCTGGTGTAGTCTTCCCCAATCTTGCCTGCCACGACTTTAAATCTTGCTTCAGTGGAGGGTCCGACCATTGGGAGTCTCTCGACGGTGGGACGTCTGTCTGGTGGTCTTTTGTGAGGCTCCACCTCCCCTCTCCCTCGCCCTTACACCCAGCCTTGACGAGTCACAGATATCCTTCTGGCCAGATCCCCGACCATTGAGTCCCTGAGTATGTTCGTCGAGATGGTTTTCTCGGCCTACTTGAAAATAGCCCATAATATCCTACCCATGCCCTGAAGCCGTCCTCATTTACCTGAGGCCACCAACCATTTCGAGGCTCCAACAACAATTAGGCTCTATGAGCCCTATCTCCTCAACCCCTCCAACCATGGGAAACATAAAATACGAACGAAAAATCGCTGGTACGCTCTGAGGGGCCCAGCTGCCCCTTTTCCCCGGCTTCCCCCCCAGCCTAGTCACCAACCCGCCCCAGATACTAGGGGTCTATGTTTGGCGCTATATGTGGCTGCCATGGCCTGCGGGCTACTCCACATTTCTTCTCACTTGTTGGCCAGCCTTAGGTTTTGTTGGACCCGCTGGGGTCCTCTGGCAGATGACTGCCCCCATGTCATCTGCTGGGTCACATCTATGCCATTGAGGGTTGTGTTTTACAGCCCCTCATGCTGCTCTTGCCTCCTGTCTCCCACCTGGTACGCCTCTTCAGCTCTCCCGGTGCCCTTGGCGGTCCCACCTGTTCTGGTGTCTTGAAATGTGCTGGCCTCTCCAGCTCCCTTGCTGTGGCCACTGGCGTTGGGATCCTCCTGCTCCCCTCTGCCCTTTCATCTGGGTTCCCGGCCTAGGGGTGCCGTCTCTGGCTTCCGGCTTCTCGCGCCGCAGCCAGCAGCGTCCGTCCCGCAGCGTGCTCTGCTGCATCCTCCTCCGCTGGGAGAAGCAGCTTCCAGCTCTTCTTGTTCCTGCAGGGGCTTCAAGAAGACCTCACCTGCTTGTGCACCTGCCGGCGTCAATCTGCCCCCTTCTGCCTTGCTGGCAGTCCATTTTATTTCTGCTGGCCAGCAGTTGTGGCTGACGTCATCAACCGGCCGCAACTGTATAAAGGCATGGCTGATGAGCTGCGCGGGTCCCTCCTCAGGCTCCAGCTTCACCGCGGGTCGCGCTGTAGGTAAATATTTCCCTTTTTCTTTTCTTTTACTTCCACTTCCTTCTGAGGGGTCCTGCCCCTGGGATTTCCCCCTGGCATTTTGGGGTTCTTCCTTCTGTTCCTCTCTGTGACAGTCCACATCACTAATGAAGATGTTGAACAATATGGGTTCAAGGACAGAGCCTTGGGGGACCCATGTTCTTTCATGTTCTTACCACCTAGCTTTTTAAGAAAAAAAAAAGAGATAATAGTCTGGATTCTCAGCTAGTAGAAGTTGGTCTGATGAGTTTAAAGCTGGCAAATTCAAAACTGATAAAAAAATTTTCAGCCTGCACATATTCAGACCACAGAACTCATTGCAACTGGGCATCACTGGTATTCAACATAGGGGAAGGGCATCAGACAGTTAAATGGCTAACTGTGAAGTCAACAGGTAATGGGACCTAGAATTTTGAAAGTTCTTGTGTTTGTTCTTGTCAGAGAATTCAGGATACAAAGGAACCACATGAGCATAGTGAGATTCAAATAAGCACGTACACTGAACATATGTGATATATAGGCTTACCTGTCCAGATACACTGCCTCTCTGGCAGGTTCCAGGTGGTATAGTTTTGAAACAAACAGTAGAGTACTACTAGAGCACTCACAAACTATTCAAAAGGATAGCAATCCTGTTGTATTGCATGTGGCATAACAAACCTTACGGCTCAGGGCTTGAGCATCATGTAAGAGAGATCAGATGAGACCTAGAACCAGGGGGTAGATTATTCCATTTTTACCCACTGCAGGGACCTGCCACCTTCCTCAGAAGCACCAAGTGCTGGCTGCTGTCAGGGAGAGGGTGTGAGACTAGGGGCGCATCTGCATGTGCATTTAAGCATGACTAAATTTTAATGCACACTAATCTCAAGTCCCTGAAGCCCTGCCATGTGCCCCTGTGGCCTCAAGGGGGAGCTCCAGCTTCTGGCCACCTGGCTGCCAGCACTTGGCAGCCATGCTGAAGCCAGAGCCAGATGCCAGCAGCTGGCAGCCATCTGGGAAACTCTGATCCCTGGCCAGCACCTTCCCTGCCCAGGAACCATGTGCCCAGCACAGGGGAAGCACACAGCAGCTCCCTCCTTGCCCACCCTGCCTCCACACACCAAGGCTGCCCCTGCCCCTGCCCCTGCCCTTGACTCTGCCAGCGATGCCCAGCACCCCATTACTCCAGTCCGGCCCCTGCCAGTGATGACCAGTACCCCATGCTCCTGCTGGTCATTGTGCTGGCTCTACTGGCTCCAGCAGGCCACCCCACCCCTACCCAGGCCCCAGGACAGCTACACACCTGCCAGCAGAGGCCAGGGCATAGGCTGCGGGAGGCCCTTCCTGACCCCCTCCTCCTGCATTTGCAGGTATCATATTTAGGTGCAATTAGTCTAAGTTAATGTGCATTAAGGGTACACACATGTAGACATGCACTCCTAATGCGCATTAATTTAGGCTAATGTGCATTAACACATCTCATGTAGATACATCCTAGGTGTCCCTAGAGTACCATCTCATATAGCTAGTTTCATCCATTCCATCACATTGCTGATTTAATTGATTTTTGTTTATACCAGCTGGTCCAGTAGCTCAAATCCCTTTGTTTTCCCTTCCTGTGCACTATTATGTTAAAAGAAATTAAGCCTGTTTGCTTCATGTAGTAACTTTCCAATTGCTAATTCTGTTACACAGTTTCCACTGAAAACTATGACTCCTAATGTTATTGTCAGAAGCAACATGACTAATAAATGTCACAGTGGCATCTCTTCTAAAATACACAGATACATTTCCTTAGATTCATAGATGCTAGAGTCGGAAGGGACCTCAACAGATCAAGTCCGACCCCCTGCCTAGGCAGTAAAGAGTGCTATCCATTTCTATGTAGGGAAGCAGACTCCATATTTCATGTTCTAATGCACCTAAGAAGTTTTCATAAGTTTCTTGGCATTTCCATCCCACCTTTGGCTTGACCAAGTCTAGCAGGAGAGAGGGATCGAGTGATGGTATCTCAGAATAAAGCATTAGGAAACTGACCTGCAAGCAAGAGAACTGAGCTTGTCAGCTGGATGCAAGTCTTCTTCTGTAATAACTTCCAGATGCAGGGTTTGTCAGACAAAAGGGATGAAGGTTCAGAAGTTTTGTTAGTCTTTTAGGTTTTTCAGATTAAAAACAAAATCTGGCATCAGGATGGGGAAGGGTGGCTAGATGAGGTCTCTTCAATTCATGTTTGTGAAATGTTAGGATTTTTAAATGCAATTTTCCCACACAAGTGACCACCTTATAAGTTGTTTGGAATTTGGATTGTGTTCAGATAAGCATTCGCCTCAGCACCCTGCAAGTTTCTTGTTAGCCACTGATTATCCTGAGAAAAAGTGACTTCCCCAGTCCTTGAGATTTGCAAAGGTAATAATCATTCTCTTTTGGACTCTCAATTTTATTGGCTTCACAAATAGCTCTGTGTCAAAAAATCCCTACCATCCCTTGTCTGAAACTGGCCAAAAGCCTGGTCCCCATTCCATTGGACACAGGCCTGGTCACAATGACCGTGCATCTGTGCTTGATTACTGCAACTCATAAATAGGAATGAAACCTAGCCCCCTCACCCCCTGAAAAAGAGGCTTAATCTGAGACCAAATACAGTTTATCTGCGTAGCAACCCAAGTTGCCATGAACACTTCATACCATTTGCTGTGGGCTCCCATATAGTATGGAGTCTCCCTGATAGTCAGTGCCCTTCATGGGATTGGATCTATCTTACTGAGAGACTGCTCCTACCTGTACCATTTTAATCTTTAAGGATTGAAAACTGTGACTAAGAAGAATTGGGTAATTGCCAGAAAAATAACTTTCACAGAAGCTTGACTTGCAGACGCACTCTTTAACCCATGAGCACAAACCTCACTGTTTGCAAAATTAAATGCAGACCATGTTTCACTGGCTTAGACTTTCCCTCAAGAAGTGCTGTACATGTGCACACAAAATCACAACCCCCTGATCCCTTGTTTCCTGCACTCCTCCACCTTGAAACCCCCCCCCCCAAGTTATTCATAAAAATAATTAAATTTCCTTTAGATAAAATGAAGAGAGGAGGGATTGTTGTTTAAACCTTTGGGAAGCAGCTCTGATGCTCAGATGAGCAAGGCTCTATAAAAACCTTCAAAGACAGGTAGATCCACAGCTAGACATTTATTTTTAAAAAACCCTGCATTTAGAGAATACAGTATGTGAGCACCTCCCTTCAATTATCCTCTAGAAGGGAAGGTCAGTTCTGGCTGCAGAGATGGTGACGCAGTACTTCGGATTACTAATTACTACAGCTGTAACTTCAGTTTACTGAAAGAGCAACTTCATTGCTGTCTTTGGAAGTTGTTCTGTCCCTGCCATACAGAATGCCAACTGAAACACTCACTTCTAATTTTGCAGCAATTTCTTCTCTGTTGTTTTTTTTTTTTAACACACTATAGAATAGGCTCCATTAATACGGGCAGGAACAGCATTCCCCTGCCTGCTGACCTGACATTTGTCACTTGTCTGTCCATAGAGGGTTAACTGTTCTTATTACATAATCTGTTTAACATTCTGGATAGATAGCAAACGCACGCACGCCCCTTCTTTCTTACAGTGTGTTTGATCACTTCAAATTGCTCTTGTAACTGCTGTGTGTAAGTCTCACGGCACTTGACATAGTGTAATTGTGTGTGTGTGTGTGCGCGTGTGCGTGTGTGTGTGTAACTTTGCTCTGTTTCAGAGTGGCTTATGCTACTCTGATTTCCTGTGTTTATGAGGAAAGAGAGAGTGAGAGAGCGAGTGAGTGAGAGACTCCGTGTGGCTACGTTTGTAGGAAGTACTGGCAGCAGTTGCAAAGTTTGAAAGCTAGCTTTGACATCTCTTGGATCTCTCTGGGTTAAAAAACTACTGCATGCAATGCCGTCTTTTGATGAGGTGTTAAAAGAAGCTGGGGAATTTGGAAGGTTCCAAAAGAGGGTCTTTTTCCTCCTTTGCCTGACAGGCATAACTTTTTCTTTTCTATTTGTTGGAGTGGTATTTCTTGGGCACACTCCAGAGTTGTATTGGTGCAGGATCCCCGGTGCAGCAGACTTAAGCAAGAAATGTGGATGGACCCTTGAAGAGGAAAAGAACTTAACTATTCCATCTCTGAATCTGGTGAACAGGTCTTCCAATGGGCAATGTGAGAGATTTGACATTGACTGGAACAACATCTCCGTGAGCTGTGCCAACCCACTGGCCCACTTTACCAATCACAGCTTGGGCAGTGTGCCACTTATCACATGCCAGAATGGCTGGGTGTACAGGCAACCCCATTCATCCATCGTAAGCGAGGTAAGGACAATCAAAATTTTCTGATCTGTATTTTCAGAGTGGGCGCAGGGCTATTAAATAGAAAGCTATGGCTGTTATGATAGAAATACATTATAGAATTATTTGAGCACTCTCCCCACCTGCCCCACTGCTTCTCTCCAAGTTTCAAATGATGCAGGAGATTGAAAGTTATCAAGCCAGACTTTTAGGAAGAGGGGAGCTAATCTGAAAAGGAGTTTATTGGTCATTTGTACTGGGTTCCTGAAGCAGGTGAACTGCTGGGGGATGTTGTATAGTTGCTGTTGTAGTGCTGGACTAAACTAAATGAAGAGTAATGCCACCTCAGCTAAGAATTGATAGTGGTCACATAGGGCCAGATGTGCAGCTGGTACAAATCAGTCTAGCTCAATAGACTACTGTGGAGCTAGGTTGACCCACCAGCTGTAGATCTCAGCATTCATCCATACATTACATACTGTTTCACAGAGCAAAGCATTTAAACTGGCTAGCGATGAGTTAGTTGCTAACCACCTTCATGGGTTCCCGTCCCTGACTGAAGAATTGAATTACAGCGGTTAGCAATTAAAAAGTCAGCTTTTGCCAGCAGTTGCTTATCTGTGATATCAGAGATGCCAATTATTTCCTGCAACCTGCCTGTTGCACCCTTTGACCCGGTACAGACATTACCCTTTTACCAGTATAAGCGATTGGAAACCAGTCTATACCTATAACAGAAAAGAAGTTTGGCACACATAGGCTGGCAGAACCAGGTCTAAGATTTCCAACCCCTCCCCCACCAAAGGGTGAATGTGTGTGCTGTTCACTACCGATTTAAACTATACCACTTACAGAAAACCAAATAACTTAGATTGATTTCCCCTCGGGCTTTATGAATATCTATACCTAGCATTTGCGGTAAACACTGCCAAATACAGTGATTCTCTATTGCAGTGGTTTGCAACTTTTTAGACTCAATGTGCCCCTCATTAGATTTGAGACACTGCTCTATAACGTTTGTGAATTAAACAGCACTCCATTTAAAAAACTAAAGTATTTATTATAGTGCTTACCTCCTTGCAGAGGGGTCAGGCAGCTGGGGTGGAGGAATGGCCAGGCAGGGATGAGCATGAACCTGAGATTATCTATTTATCTCCTCACACCTCACGACACCATTCAAAGGATCTTGCATCACTCTAGTGTGCCACAATACCCTGGTTGAGAATCACTGCTGTACTGGGCTGAAAATGGTCAATCAAGAAGCTTTGCTAGACCTCAGCAATAATCTTTAATCATATAAGTGGTGTGCCACAGTCTGGCTCTGTTTTGTAGACCTAGCAGCAAAGATGCATGTAAAGTTCTGCAGGGAAATGAAAGTCAGAGCTGTGGTGCCTAAAAACTTCAGCACAAAAGTATCTTTAAAGGCATGCAATATAGTCATGAGGTGCTGCATAAAGGATCAAAGCAACCAAGCGATCCATGTGCCCATTAACCTGCCAGCCCCAGCCATCAACTGGGGCATATTGTGCTAGGCGCTACACAAACACAGGCAAAAGGCAGCAGCCCAAAGAGTTCGCAGCTGCAACCCGATTTATCACAGATGTCTTCATGAAATGTCAGTGCTCCAGATTGTTTATGTTCATGGAAAGGTAAAAGCAACTGGACTGCCTTGGAATTTGTAGTGAGATATGGAGAATTTATCTTGAGGTTATAACTGAAAGCTTGTTCAGGTTAGAAGTGATGGAAAAGCAGCATAACCTGATGGCTGGAGGCATGATTAAATGAGTTGGAAAGCACTGAGCACAGTTTGCATTGAGTAGATGTATTTGCAACCTTGGCAATGGACAGAATGGTCAGGGAAAATGAACTGTATTTATCTGCCAGTAGACAGCAGCCCAGCCCAGTGTAGGAAGCTTGTACTGTGGCAGGTATTGTACTTCTCCTAAAGGCATCATTGAAATCCCACAGCTTTTGATTCTAAATTTGTCAAGAGCACTAGTGTTCCCCTAACATTATTTTTAAAAAATTAACATTAGTAGTTGGGAAAGATTTTTTTCCCTTTGTCCAGTCTTTAGTCAGCCATTCAAATTGATGACTGCTCATAGTGAGTAAGCAAACTGGCAAGGCAGAGCACTGCTCAGAGTCCGTTTATTGCAGCTGGTGAAAGATAAAATTGTATCAATTGGAGCCATTATCATTTTCCACCAGCCAATGGGAAAAAAAAGAGCTGCTTCTTGGCTCCTGCTTAGAGAAAATGAAACTTGTAATTCAGAGCCAGATGTAGGAGGTGAAGGTCTTTGGCAAACATTCTCAGGCAGCAACACGTTCAGCTGCACGTTCAGTTTCTCTTGAGTTCATGAGGAGCCAGCGTGCTTGGAAGGGAGATGCTCCTTATACTTACGATCAAGCAACTGAAACCAGCTAAATCAAAACTGGGCTTTGATTTTGGTCGCTGTAGCCCTCCCAATTCCTTGCATGAAGGCAGGAGAGAGGATGGAATAAGATGGAGACACTGAGATTAGATGCAGAGGAGAAAGGGCAGTGGCCACGAGAGCCCTGTTCACCTAACACAGGGGTGGGCAAGA